ATATCGAAATATTAAATTTGTCTGAGAATTCCATTTTATTCCTAATACCCAATATTCTCAAAATCTATATAACATATAACAGAAATAAAATGAAAATACAAACCATAAATAAAATTCCGTTCTAATATCGTTTATAAATTGATTGTCATGAAAGTGTAATATAAAATCTATTCCAATGGCAGTGCTAGTGCTTTTTAAAAGTCTGAGTATAATGCTGCGCGTCGTGGTATACAGTTTTATTGGGTCCATGAAGGATGGAGCTTCATCCTACTTCAAAAGAAGCACACTTGACCGCAACAGATGGCTGCGTCTCCCCACCTAACTAATATCTACAAAGTATAACATACAAAGAAGTATCATTACATAGAGGTTCTATATAATACATACTTACTTAAATATATTTTTTTTATTTTCCAAATTCAAATTCTATATTCATTTATAATGTAGCATTTTTTTCTCATTTTATTTCCTTATAGAACGACAATTGCAACGTAAGAGCTAATTGCATTTGAACCGTACACAAGGCAAGTGCCAGGGGAATTTTAATAGACCCTCTTCATAATGACGGCTCTTTTTGAATAGATGATATTTTAACCGAGCCTCATACTAATTATAATTAGTAATATAAAATTTGAATATAACTGTATTTTATATAATTGGCTTGTTACAAAAAGTTAAAGCTAGATTAAAAATTAACAATTTAAATGTTTTCCAGTATTGTGAGAATCATTTCATTGTTCTTTCGGCATAGCTGAATACAAACGAGTTGAAAATGAGGACATATCCTCACACGTTGGTTTGCTAGGGAAGCGTTCCGTTGCACGCAGCCGGCGGTGCATTTCCGAACGCATCGCCGTTCAATATCCGCGACGATTGTTTGTAGATCACTCCCCACCCTCCTCTAATGGAGCCTAGCAGGGTGTCTAGTTCAGAAATAGCGTTATACTACAGATATAATACTCACTGCTCTTTTATATCCCCCGCCGTTTATTTATAAGGGTATTCTGGTAATGCAAATTCATAGAATAATATCGTTTCCATCTGGTACAATCGAATTTAAGAAAAAGGCTATTAGATAAGCTCTTTCAACAGAAATTTAATATGACGCAATGGATACTTTAATTTTATTTTACTTTGCAAAACTTCTTTTTACAAAGATGTTTATATAAATGAAAAAATGTTAAAGTTGAAATTTTGATAATGTTAATATTTCGTAATTATAACAATAACTACTATTGCATTAAATTATGACGGTATTGTTGTAAAATCAAATAACATCCTTAATAAACAAATAATATTCTTAATAAACTTATATTTAACTTGTTTATCTTGTCTTTAAAATTTAAATATTCTTTACTTTATATCCGTCTATTTCAGTGAATTTTTTAAAATTTTGAGAGTTCTTTCTTAAAATGACAAACAAGAATATAGTAATATTTTTAAACTACAAAATATTACAAGAAACTATTACTAAAACCAGTTAATATATTCTTAAACTTGTATAAATATATTACTTGTGCCCACATTACACATTAATGATATGGAATTGATTTTAATACATACTTCAAAATAAAATTAACACAAAAATTAATTTTAACATAACTAACCAAAGGACAACAAAACTTAATAATAAGTAATGATTTTTTTAAATTATGATAAGAAGTAATCAGTCTAGCAATAGTTGATAACCTATTTTTATCAAAAAAAGAAATACTTAGATAAAACTGAAATGAAGATTTTCTTAGTACTCGTAAATTACTACTTTTTAGGTACAACTTTAGAAGAAGGAATATAAATAAAAGTGGCACGACAAATTATATCAGAAAACGTCAGAAAGAAGTTACATCTTTTTAAATGACTAAGATGTTGTCTTAGACATAAAAGTTTTGAAAGTTTGATAATAAGAAAACGCTTATTATATAGTTCTGTAAATTGTGTTCAGAACGTTAAGTGTAGGCAGAAAACTTGAGGCGGATGGTGGTAGCTATATAAGTTGTGCGCAAATGTACCAAGTTTAGAGCTTTGAGAAAGTTATGCAGTCGATTTCAGAACTGTCACATGATACCTGTTCGCTCACTGCACCACGGGCTAAGTTGATAAATTCAAATGTTCACAACTCCGTTAACAACAAGGTTTCCTTTAAACTCCTGACTCACACCATACGGTTTTATAAATAACAAAACGTTATTGTATGCCGTAGCTTCAATTAAGAATATGAATATTACGGAAAAGTTTGAAAGCATAATTTGTAAGTTTTTTAACGACTTTCAACAGTACTTAAGAAGAAGCCTCACATTTTCGTCTTTATATCTAAGTATGTTTGACTACACAAAACAGGGTGACAGTGAAATTAAATGTGATTATATCATAATTTTTTTGATACATTTTATAAATTATTTTTTAAGTGTAGGTATAAATTATAATTCTTCTTCTACCTACCTGGCAATTTCCCAGCTTTAAGCCAGGGTCTGCCTTACATGGTGTAAATAGTTTTGGCTAATTGTTATTTGTTTTTACGACCGACCGCCTGCCTGACATCAACCTTCTTTGGGAATGCATTAATCAGTGATGTCTAAATACTCTTAGAAAGTCTAAATAAAAGTAAAATAAAAGGTATAAATTATAATTATTGAAATTATTATACGAGGGGTTTCGTATCTGTCATGAAAGATTTGTTTTATTTTGTGATTTAAATATTTTTACATCTTATTTGGGATGTTAAACACCTGAATGAAATAGCATGTAGATGTAACACTGATAAATCGTCTACAAATCTCAGTGTTAATATTTCTTATTAATTTCTCATGACATTGTGGTATCAAAAGGTGCCTATATTAATTTTTCGATGTTACAATCCGATTGAACGAATTCCGTGGGATCCCACGATATTGTGTTAGAACTGTTTATAAAAACAGTTAATTTCAAAGATAGATATAAAAAATAAATGAAGTCTATTAGAATCTCACCCTAATATGCTAAGTACACTTGTTTAGATTGATTTAATAATTCTTTAATCAAACTTGAGTTTTCAATCGTTGAAATGAAAAGATCTCAATAAAGTATGGAGAGTAAGACAAACAAGAATTATTGATTTCTTATTATACAGTTATGTTAGTGATTGTTTCATTATTATACCTTGCAAAATTTTTATTATTTAGGGTTTGATATAAATTTCAGTTATTCCGTTTGCGGCGAGTCGTTAATGACCCGGAGAATCGTTTTTATGACGTTTGCTTTTAGAACAGTATCAAATGTGGTTTATGGAGCAATAACAATGAATTCAATAACAAGCCGGGAACATTAGCTATATAATTAATAAATGTTTATATAGTTATCGTACGGACATATGAAAGGAAAAGTGTTTTCTTTTATTTAAATGATTAATATTAAGTAAAACTTAAAAAACTTTGCTATAAAAAGAAAATATTATGACATATTTTAAATAACATGAAGCCACATTTTTTTAATTTTTTTTTGACGACAATTTGATTTACTGTTTTATGTTATAGTTGATCCGGCGTTCTACAAGTTTGTCTTTATCTGAAAATACTACAATAGACAGTTCAATCCATTGAGAAGTGAGTGTTAGTTCAAAGTTCCATGTTTTCTTTTTTACCTTGTATATCACTCCTATTGTTGTTTTTGTCCTCCTGAATCTAAATCGTGATATGTGTTACATTAATTTCATTAAGTATTTTACTTTGCTCTTTCGAAACAATAGAAAAACCAAGAATTCTTTTTAAATCAAGTACTGAAATCGGACTTATAATTTTTCACTGTACTTCTTTAAGTTTTAAATACAACCATTAAGAATTAAAATTAAGACATTAACATTCTTAGTCCCCTTATTTTTTATTTTCCAAAATAACAAAAACGATTTTAATTTAAAAGTGACTATAATATTCTCTGAATGTGACTATAACGACCAATGAACGAAGACCAGTGAAGTTATGAGAAACTCGTTACTATAGTACAGAATACATATTAAACAAATGTTCAGGGCATGTTCAGTACATTGCCAGCAAAGACACATGAAGCTTTTATTTTTAATAAGTAAATGGTTTTATTAAAATTTCACCTTGCCTTTTTATGTTTTACTAAGAAATTTGTCAATTCACAAAGAACTTTTAAATTTTTTAGCATTATACTGAAAATAAACTTTATATTACTTCTAAGGCAAAAATTATAAATATTTAATATATATCCTCAGTAGGAAGAGGCTACAGCGACCTTGGAGTATAAATAGCTCTTAAAATGTCTGGTGCAGAAGGCAAGGGGAAACCACTACACTATATTCCCAAGAAAGTCATCATCAAGTTAGACGAGTGGCGACGTGTTGTGAAGCGTGCCACCGCACATCATGATGACCACGACCGTTCTGCCAAGAACGTATCGACTTAGAAGAAGAAGAATTGTGTCAAACCAATAAAAGAAAATGACATATTTAAATGAAACTAATATTTTTCAGAAACAACTCCTATTTTACTATTTTAAAAACTTCATAGTCACGACGTTTCGGTTTCTTTTCAGCAACCGTGATCACGGGCTGACGATATGTGAGGCATTCACATCTAGTAGTGTAATCTGAAAAACATTAATTTCATTTAAATGAATGCTCGCGAAAGTTTTCGATCTCATTAACGGCAAAATTTATTTATATGTAGCCCTCACATACCTTTAAATATTATGATCTTGAAGATATAAAAAACCGTAAAAAATGTTGAATTTAAAGGTTAACCAACTAGAGAAATATTAATGTTTCTGATTAAAAGATTCAATGAAATAATTTCCCTAAAGAAATTTTTTGTTCAGGGTTTATTAGGTTTACATATGTACTCATCTATTTTTTCTATTTTTAATATATCTTACTTTATAAACGTACAACTACTGTCATAAATGTCATTTTAACTTCCACCTGACCTATGACAATGACATTTTATAGTAAATAATTTGCAGGTTATGTGTTTACTGTTCTTATAAATTAAAACAAGAATACATCAATGGAAAATACTGATAAAAGACCACAGTTTGGAAATAGACTACTAGAAAATGTGGATGAGGTCTTCAAACATAACGCTTGGTACTGTATTCAAAGTTAGCATTCGATTTTGTAAACGAAAGGAATGTCCTACAAAAACTGTAACTAGCTTGGAAGTTACGAGGCATAGAAAAAAACCTCCTGGTGGTAGTCGATATTTAACTGATACGAACAACATATTTTTATTCAATGCATGGTATTATTACAAATTTTATATACATATAATGTTATTATTCATATCATCAGAGTTCATAAAGTTATGCCCCTTTTACGTTTAATAATCTGTAGAACCACCACTTAAATTGAGTTTATAAAAGGAAATAATATGTTATAAATCATTTAAAATAAATATTAAGTGTATCGTTCTTGATTTTCAGGGACAATGTACAGTGGGATGCGGAACAAGAAGAAGCAGCAGCAAAGAAAGTACAACAGAACTCTATTATAAAATTATCAGATGAAAATATAAAAGACTTAGAAGAGAATGCTAATAAACATTGGGACGCCTTTTATGATATACACCAAAATAGGTATTTCAATACTTAAACAGCCAGTTACTTCTTTAAATGAGATTAACAAATAGTTTTGATGTTTTGTGTACTCCAACACTCCTAGTTTATAACTTCTATTCTATTGAATAGAATATATATATCTATATTAAATATTATACCTTATTATTGTTAATTTTCAGATTTTTTAAAGACCGTCACTGGTTATTCACGGAGTTCCCTGAACTAGCACCTGATAATACATCAGCTCCTGTCAGGGTGTTTCCACAAACTGAAATTGACCAATCATATGAAACTAGAAATGAAACTAACCTATCAACCAATATAGATAACGAAAACAAAAGATTCATATTTGAAATTGGCTGTGGGGTCGGCAATACTATATTTCCTATACTCCAGTACAGTCAAGATCCTAATTTATTCATATATGGGTGTGATTTCTCATCCAAAGCAATAGATATTATGCAACAAAGTGATTTATATGACAAGAAGAGGTGTGAGGTGTTCGTCTTAGATGCAACTTTACCTGAATGGCAAGTTCCATTCAAAGAAAACTCAATAGATATTATTGTTTTTATTTTTGTTTTGTCCGCTATTGAACCTGCCAAGTAAGTTATAGGTATATGGTGACTGGTGAATTACTATCAATATTTAAGGAGAATACTCGGTACATGATTCTCATTCGGATTATGTAAAAAAAATAGGTACTTAATTTTTGACCAAATTTCCGTATAAATAAATAAAGTGAGGACATATTCCAAGTGTTCCAAGTGTGGACGCGTGCGGCGGCGTGCTGATACAACACCACGCCGCCCCACGCTTGTGTGTGTGTGTGTGTATACCTAATCTGTAGGGTGTTCACACGATGCATTATTAATTACATAACTTTAGGTTAACTTTACTTAGAAGTTTATTAATATTTATGTTATATTAATTTTTATTTTGTCATATATGATCGTCAAATATCACGTCCTCAAGTATCGATAGTAATTCACCAGTCACCCTGTATATTAAACTAGTATTTTAAATCTCTAAGATTGATATTTTGTTTCATAATAATTATTTTTATTTGATACTACTTTGCTGATGTATAAACACATGCTATAGAAAACCCAGTTGAAGCAGTTTATACTCTTAATGAGGTTTCATTAAATTTCTTGAAAATACATTGACCTGACTTGTTGAACATGGAACTGCTTTAAGATAAAACCTTTTTGATTAATAAACTGTCTATATAGTTTTCTAGAAATTTCCTCATTTTTGAAATTTGTTAAAACATAACTAAGTTTATAAAATTTCCTACCTGGACATAAAATTTGTCCAGCCCTCTAGATTTTAACTTGAACAAACAGAGAGGCAGACAAAAATTAAAAAAGTACATTTTTGATTTAGGTACCATATACAGCCACGGGCAAAAGTATTAGGCACCCTACAGTAAGACAAGTTTTAGGGTGTTTTAGCATAGCGAGTGTAAATAAAACTGCATTTATGATTACAATGGTTTATTTTAAGAAAATAATTAATATTTTCTAGGTCCACCTTTTGACTTAATAACCGCAGCCACTCTTTTTGGCATTGACTCTACCAGCCTGAAACATTCTTCTCTTGATATATTTTTCCATTCCTGCATTAACGCGGCCAATAGAGCTTGTTTATTGCTAATCGAGTGCCTGCTGATATTTTTCTTTAAAATGGACCAAATATGCTCAATCGGGTTGAGGTCTGGTGATTGTGGTGGCCAGTCCAAAAGATCAATATGATTTTCAGCAAACCACTTCATGGTGTGCGCGGACTTGTGGCAAGTGGCGTTGTCTTGCTGAAATTTCAGGCCATCGGTGTTTGTATCACCAAAAATTTGCGTTATCGACGTTGCTAGTGCTGTTTCCAGAACTTCAGTGTATTTAACACTATTCATTCGTCCCTTACACAACACCATCTCACCCACTCCGTCGGCAGCCATGCAGCCCCAGATCATTATTGAGCCTCCACCATGCTTAACAGTGGGAACCACACATTCTGGGTTGTATTCTTCGCCAACCCTTCGCCTAACATAAGTCACACCGGGTGTTCCAAACACCTATGCCAAACGAAAAAAAACACATTTATTTTCAAAGTTATTATTTTTCTTGCAGTACGTTATTTTAAAAACATTTATGTGTTTTAATATTGTACATAAAATAAATAACAATACCTCAAAGTTAGATTCGTCTGACCACAGTATGTTGGACCAATCTTCCACTGACCAATCTCTATGTTTGAGTGCCCACTCCAACCGATTTTTCTTGTGTTCTGACAGCCACGGCTTCTTCCTTGCTTTACATCCTTTTAATCCAGCTTTAAGAAGTCTTCTTCTCACAGTATAAACACTCACTGAGCTGCCTTTTGCCTCAGATAATGCTGCAGCGAGCTCTAAAGCAGTTTTTTTCCTGTTTTGTAGAAACTGCCTAATCAACAATCGATCTTCCCGTTCAGTAGTAACTTTTCTTCTGCCTGTTCTTGGTCTATTTTCATGGGTGCCAGTCTCTTTGAAGCGATTTATAGCATAGTGAACTGCACATCGCGAGCACTTCACTTCTCGGGCTATTTTAACCTGAGACATGCCTTGTTCATATAAAATCTTAATTCTTAGACGCTGTTCAGCACTAAGTTCAGATTTTTTCGGCATGATTAACACGTTAAATGTTAGTCTTTAAAATTGTGATAGGAATAGTTGCGTAGAAGACGTGTATGTTCACTGCAAGCACTGATAACACACTATAACCCGAAACGCAAAAAAAGCATATTCGAAGAAATACCGCTTAGGAGCACACCTGGATGTCATAAATATTTTCTTTTATCTTAATTTGGTTAAAAATTGCCGCTAATACAATAGCTAAACCATAAAACACAGACTTGACCACAATATAATGAGATAGTGACTAACAATAGGGGTGCCTAATACTTTTGCACGCAGCTGTATGTATATACTTTCATGTGTTTAGTGAAAATCTCTTAACTTAGAAACAGACTGACTTAGGGAAAATATTCAGTGAATTTAGATTTTTGTTTTTATTTTCATTAATAAATGTTAATACTCTGCTTTCATAGTCTAATGTTGACATAGGTAGTCTGAAGGGTACTTTGTACTCAATAATTCAGAATAACAATCAGATAATTTATTTCTATGTAGAAAAATATACATCCATATGAATTTTTTGCCAGGATTTGAACCAGTTTAACCAAAGATTATTGATATATTTGTAACATTAGTCACTATTATTATTTATTTAATTAATATTATCATATCATTAACAACAAAGTAATTAAAAATTTACCTAAAATAAACTTCAAGTGATAATATTTTAATTGTACCAGTTGAACCAGTTAAGCAATCTTATCAGTATATACAACTACATTTAATATATTTATTTTACAGAATGAAAACTGTAATTGGCAATATATATAAATATTTGAAGCCTGGAGGTCTGGTAGTGTTCCGGGACTATGGAAAATATGACCTTGCTCAATTAAGATTCAAAAAGGGTCGCTGTATATCTGAGAACTTTTATGCCAGAGGTGATAAAACTATGGTATACTTTTTCACTCAGGAAGAAATATCAAACCTCTTTAGAGATGCTGGATTTACTGAAGAACAAAACTTAATAGACAGAAGACTCCAAGTGAATCGAGGAAAAATGCTGACAATGTATAGAATATGGATTCAAGCAAAGTATCGTAAACCATTATAATATAAAATATAATTTTTACACAAAATATGTTTAACTATAATAATTCACCACTTTAATGATACTAATTTCTTGTAACTTGTACCTAATAAAAACATCTGAATAGATAAATTAATGAGGCTATGAAATAGTTTCAAATTTAAAATAATACGGTTTTTTGAACGAGTTCATCAACCGAGTAACAACTTTTATCGGTGGACCATTCCAAGAAATTTTCATATTTTTCAACAGCTTTGTAACAAGTATCTCGATTTCCATTTCGGCGATCCTTCTCCCAATACAAGATCTTACTCCAAAACCAAATGGCAATGTTATCATTGGATGGCAATTGCCGTAATATAATGGATCAGTCTTTTCAACCAGCCACCTTTCTGGTATAAACTCCTCAGCTCGAGGATAATTTTCATCCAGTTTTGAAAGATATTGATTCGGCGCTATCACATCCACCTGAAATATAATTTGAAATTGATTATATTGACAGTTGACACTTTATAAATAATATTTTGATATAGCAATAATTTACATATGTATTTTTTTACGATACAAACAAATATATTGAACATAGAGTAATCCTTACTCCTATCGGTATCAAGTAGCCAGCTACAACATGTTCTTTCGTTGTTCTTCTCAAGTTTGCCGGTACAACGGTTTGTAATCTCAAAGACTCTTTCAAACAAGCTTTGAGATATCTTTTACTAGGCTCCGAGGAATTTATTTCTTTGCGTAATTTTTCTTGCACTTCGGGATTTATTGCCAGGTTATATAATAGGCCAATTGTAGTAAAAGAAACCTGAAATGTTATTTTTTTATGTGTAAGATAATAACAGATTAGAGATTTTTGAAATCTTTTTCTTTTAAATAGGTTTTTGTTTTATAATACTGTTACATAATATCGCAATTTTAGCCGTTAATAATTATAATAATTAAATATGTCTAATGTACTGTATCAATTCCTGCTAGAAGCATTTCGTTTCCCATCGCCAGAGCAACTTTTTCGTCTATGCTAAGTAGTTTTTCTATAATGCTTTTATCTTCTTCAGGGACATCATAACCTCGCTCTTTAATTTTTTTCTCAGCCTCTTTGATGAAATTCACACTAGTACTAAAATATTAAATCAAATGTAAGACTATATATATTCTTGATATTACAATTAATGCAACTTAGAATACATATCCGAATTTTTTTTACTTTAATATTGGAAATCTTAATAACAGTTAAATAATGTATCATATACTTACTCCCATTGTAAATCAAACGCGTTGATAATCCTTTTAAAATTCTTAGTTGGTAAATATTTCCACATGCTGGGACGAAATTCCAATTTCCAAGATAAATTTAAAATATCCTTCGAGCATTTCATAAGAATGCGTGCCGGGTGACTGTCGGGTAAATCGTTTTGAAAACATCCAAGCCTTGCGCCCAACGCGATAACGGCTACGGATTCTAAAGACCATTTTGTTACTTCGAAATCAAAATTCTCCTGCATATATTTAGCATCTTTATCTAAATTTTCAATTCTAAAATCAAATATCAATATAGTTTATCCAAATAATTTAATAAGTTAAATATTATTTAGTATAAACGCGAATTCGTACCTTTTAACCATTTCTTCAGCGATTTCTTCCAGTAATGGCGAATAAAGTTTCACGAGCTTCGGTTTCAGTAATACTGGATTGACTTTAGTACGAGTATCCCGCCAATAAACGCCTTCACTGAAATGTTTATCTAATGTTAGCTACTTTAATATGTGATTTTTTTATTTTATATTCAATAATACACACGATGTAGTCAAACTATGTATTCCTTCATATTTAGATTTTTCCAACTTTTCTCTATAATAAATTAAAGTGTCGAATCCTGGTCGTGATGGTATTGGCTCTTCAGATCTATAAATCTGAAATGAAAATAAATTGTTTTTTATTGGATCAGGATTCATATAAAGAAAAAACATAGTTGATGATTTAGTTTTTGTGAATACCTGATCAAAATGTTTTGGTTCATACAAAATAAGCATGGAAGATCTAGAGAATATTCCATCTAATTTAACAATAGATCCAAACTTCTCATGTAAAACTTTCGCTAGATCATCAAAATTCGGTTTCGGACCAACTGATCCTATAATAAAATTAAAATTAATTAATTGTTATTATTATGTAGATATAATATTAATTTTGTTACCTATCACTGGAAGGAAATGATGAATGGGGCCCAAAATGGGTAAAGAAGACAACCCTGGTATGGATGTAAATGGCTTAAGTTCAGACGAGTAACACCTGAAAGAATAAAAAAGCTTTTATTTTTCTATGTAAGTAATATAAAAATGGAATCATATTTATAAGTAAATCTCTACTGATATGTGTTTATCATAAATGTGTTATATACAAATCAAGACGATATTTGTGTCTATACACAAAGACACACAATTATATATGTATACTATATCATTGTAAATAGTTTATAAGTTTAACGTAGGTGCATAATTTTAAACTATACCATTAAAAATTCATAGAAAGTTTTCATAACTACTAGATAAAAAATGTTTTTTTGATATCTACCTCAACGTACTCCAACAACGATGATTTTTTAACATTATATTTTTAAATAAGACACCCATGGTATGTATGGATTGTATAACAAAATTTTATTCATAACACAAGATGATTTAGTTTTCTGCATCAACAAAAATAGCTCGTCGGACAAATAAACAAATTGCAATGACCTTGTAGAGTACGTTACGTACTTCCTAGATGGTTTTGATCTTTAAAATTGAAATTTATAACAGGTGCTGTATTATTTAATTATAAGCGGCTTATAATATTAAAAATCAGCTATTTATCGTATTAGTTAATCATAGCTATGTTATTTTTTAAATACATAAATAATATTTTCCATATAAGTAAATAATTAGAACCTAAGCTACCAAATTTACATTAACATGTTTTTTTCCCCCATATATTTTTTAAATATACCCTTGTGTGTTATTGAACCTTCAATATAACATTTATAATCTGTAGTCTGTTTTGAAAATGTTGTTTGACAATTCTTCAGTTGACGTTTGGAATAGTAATGGTTGACACAAAATAGTTGTGATAAATATTTGGAAACAAAACCATTTCAAATAAAAAAAAATGTGTAAAATGTGATAGCAATAATATATTTTATTTAAATCGTTCAGAAAAACTTATTCAGTTATGTTATACAGGCTACGGAAGTATAATTGATGCATCATTCTTTGTCATGAAAATAGTTTTTCATAAAATATCGATCGATTATGAAAGACTAACTTATGTATATTATTTTATATTTTGAAACTCACTAATTCAAAAACATCTTGCTCATATAAGTGATTGAAACAACTGATCGACCGTTCAATTTGTTAACGTGGTAATTTAATATATTACGTGTATACTTCGTACCCGTTAATAATAAAAAAATCGACACTATTTTGTTTGATATCGCGTTTAAAGGTGAGCTTTCATCACTTAAATCATGAAATAAATTGTCTGAAGTGTGCCTGGAATTTACGTCCATGTATTGTTGTTCCTTCCTGTGAGTATTATTATCTTTCACTCTATCGCATTTCATAATATTGTTTATAATAATGACGCCTAGACCATTATAACTTACATCCTCCAGTAATAACTTAAAGCATGTTTTTTATATTAAAATAATTGAATTTTAATTTTTTTTGCTCATTAAAAGGATCTTTTTATTTTGTTTAATTACATAATACAAAATGTTTTTTTAATATTAAAATTATTCACCAATAATTTTTCAATTTTTTTTATGTGGCATGGCATGAATATATAATAATTTTTCTTTGGATGTAATGCTTCTGTAATAAATGTACTGTTACACCATAGTTTTCCATTAATTATTCTCAGTAAATAATAGACAAAGAATGGAATTACCTTACATAGAATACATAACAGTGATTTATATAAGTATTAACATTTGCATCATATAAGTGAGTCATAGTACATTTTATAGTTGGAATTAATTAAACTTATATTGAAAACTATATTATTATATTTATAATATTATTAGAAAAAGGACCAGATTGTCTAAATGTGCATTTTATTGTATGTTTTTTTTATTACAATGCCTAAATTTATGACAAACATCATTCAATTGAAGCCAATGAAATAAATAATGACCAATCTGCTATGATTGGTGAATCACATGTTACTGCTGCATGTATATTATCACACATTTGGTAAACAAGTGACATTAATTATAATTCAGGAATGTACACATTTCATGTCTGATTCAAATTGTTATTCATTATAATAACAAACCAAATTAGAATTGTTATTTATCGTGATAGGTCTTATGAACATTGTGATTTGTTATATAAAAATAGCATTATGTTAAATATAGAACATTCAAGATAGTGGTTAAAGTGCAGGAAATAACTAGCATGACTTTTAAGGTATAAGTAAGAAGTATAATGTAATAAATGAGAAGGTCAAACATTTATATTATAATTTCCTCAATAAATGTGATAAAATGAAAAAATTATGAATTTAATCTAGAGAATAAATTATTTAATTGGAACATAAAAATATTAAGTACCAAAGAAATTATTAAGAATTTAAAGAAATAAAAAGAATGTCCTTATAGTTGTTGCTAAAAAGGCTTTAATTTTTCAATTGTATCAAATACAGAAGATTTTCAATAAAATGCAGATAAATTAATTATTGATTCATAAATAACAATTTTGTATATAATCATACATAAAAAGTTCAAACAGTTGTAATGAAAATGTGCACATTCAGACATGCCCCAGAAAAGTAATGGCATATCTCAAATAGTACCAACAAAAAACTCGTTCATTATATTGTATATATAATTTTTCCTGTTCCATTATAAAATACTTATCTCATTTCCTTTAACATTACTGTGAAATAGAATATTAAACTGTTGATGTTGACTTGTCAGAGTATACTGCCAAGCGACAACATTCAAATAAATTTCTCTGTAGTTTTTTTTATAAGTGATTTAAGCTTAAGGGGAATCATAGGAAATACAAATTTTGTGTGTTTTAGAAGTTATTGAAGCATTATAACAATCAAAGTGTTACCATTATAAAAATGTATTGTATCATGTGTTTTTCATTGTGTGGGTGTTGCTAGTTCACGGCTGGGGGTCGGGATGGCGAGCATGAGTTCAACGCTCGTCGAGACGGTGTCCATCAACTATGAGGATTTTAACGAAAGCTTCCTCACATGCGGCACCTGTTTATGTTAGTACACATTTATTTTATATCACACTTCATATCATTGCTTATATGGCAAGATTTACTTTAAATTCACTGACACAGACACAGTAGACATTATTCAGTACCAGAGGATTGTATAGTATAATAGCTATCCCAATATTATTTAGTTGTATATATTTTTATTACTTACAGGCACTTACGATGGCGGTGAGCATACACCAAAATTACTGCCATGTTCGCACACCGTCTGCCTGCATTGCCTCACCCGAATAGCTGCCTCACAGACAAGAGACGCGGGTAGTTTTAGATGTCCTATATGCCGAGAACTAATAACAATACCACGTGGCGGAGTACCCGCATTACCGCCGTCGTTCCTCGTCAACCAGTTATTAGATTTGATGGCCCGACAGAGAAGGGAGGTCATACCCCAGTGCAGTTCTCATCCCGGTAGAGAGCTACTATTCTGTGAAACCTGTGATTGCGTATTCTGTAGACATTGCGCTGACGGACCTCACAGCGACACGCCCTGCGATCATACTGTCGTACCTTTTTCTATAGCGTTAAAGAGAATGTCCGAAATACTATTATATAGAGCCAATGAGTGCCTCAGTAAACTCGGCTCGGCCAGGGAGGCTGTAGCGAGTGAGTTAAGGAGATTAGAGGCGGCTGCGACCGCGGCTGACGAAGCCATAGATAGACATTTTACTGAGTTGAAAGCTGCCTTAGACAAACGTCACAACGAGCTTAAATCAGCGGCCGCTGCTGCCGCGACGCATAAGAGGAAGCTGCTAGAAGAACAGTTGAAGTTGATTGATGCGGAGAAAGCTAAAGTAAGTTGAAGTAAATTAGTGCATATCTTAAATGAAACTAATACTTTCGGATTACTACGCGTAATTTAAAGTCACATCTCGTTTGCCCGTGATCACGGTTGCTGCAAAGTAACGTCGGGAATATGTAGTTTTTAAAAATGAGACGAAACTACTCAGCATTCCATGGATTCACCGTGCGGGTGCCGGGTCCATCGCGTTGCAGTAAGTAATCCGAAAATATTAGTTTTATTACAAAGAATACTCCCGAAAGTCTCATTATAAATTTTGAAATATATATATTTTTGTCAGATTAACTTTTCTTTTAACTAAAACATATAAATATACATAATGTGGGCATATGAATATAATTTTAATTTCCCTTTATATATTTCCAGGTGGAAGCAGAATGTTCAGGTCTTCAGCAGCAAGTGGAGGTTCGAGAAGTGAGCAGTCGAGCGGCTGCTTTGGGAGCGAGGTTAGGAGACGCGGCCGCCTTGGCTGAACCGAGAGAAAATGCGTTTTTAGCCGTCGATTTCGCTCACAATGACGCCCAGCAGAGATTTGCTGAGGCTTTGGCAGAACTTGGCAGGGTTCGGACAAGTACAACTTTCCCTGGCCTATGTACTCTTCAGTTAGGTATGACTCATATATTGTCAAAGCAATATACTTATATAATATACCCTGGCTAAAGCTGGGAGGTTGCCAGGAAGGAGATACTTATATAATATACGTGTTATGATGAACTTCATAAACAAAATAACTCATTAGATTCTACATATATCAGTCTGAATGTGATGGTTTTCCGTTTGATGGTCATGATTAAGATTTAAACTCCAACTAAACAAACTTACCATTATATTAAGAATTGCGAGCACCTGGAAGATATACATATACTCAAAACAATAACTCATTAGTTAAGGCGTGCTCGAGCATTAATGTAGGATATTTGTTAGAGCATTGGTCCAAAATACACACACATTAACAAGGGGTATGCTAATGGTTATTGTGTGGTCAAGCTTGTGCTCATAATATTAATTTAAGGTCTTTGTTTTAGTTTTTAAGTTCTTTTTTGTCTATTTGTAGTGTAGAAATTCATTCAATAATAAGTGTTTGTAAAATTGGAATATGGTTCTGGAAATAAAGTGATTTATTATTATTATATTAAGGTCCCATGCGCATATTTTGACAGGAGTTTGTAGCAGTTCTTTTTATTCTGGACATACCATTAAAATCGACTATTATATACAGAATCCCCGTGTGTATGCGGCCTCGAGATGGTAGTAGTTCTTCGTACAGTGGACTATCACGGCGAGGCTCGCAGTACCGGCGGAGATCCAGTCACTGCTGCAGCTACTCTCGACGATTCACCTCTACCGTGCACGGTCACTGATCTTGATACTGGCTTGTATCGGTACGTCTAGTATTTATTTTTATTTATTATTTTTTTATGTGAAAAGGGGGCAACTGAGCAGACGGCCTACTTGATGTTAGGTAGTTACCGTCGCCCATTGACATCTGCAGCGTGGATATGCAGATGTGTTGCCGCCCTTGTTTGGGGAAAATGGGGAGTAAAAGGTGGGAAAGGGAGGGAAAGGAAAGGGTGGCAAAAAGGGAAAGAGCATGAGCATATGTTTGACTCCTTTAAGGTCAATGACCCGACCTTAGCCAGATGACTGAACTTTTTTTAACATGACCTTAGCATTTCCTCTACTTAATTTAATAGTGTAAGGTGGTAATGAAAAGTATTTATATTTAGTTGCAATGAAATTTAAAACTATGTGAATTGTGTTCAAAATATTTTTTTATTGAATATATGTATATTTCCACAACTGTTCATTAGTAAATAGATGAATCGCTTTTTATTCTGATCTCTACGTAAATCTTCTAGTATAAGCTAGCGTAACATAGCCAATAAAACGTATAATAATTCAATCAATACCTATTCAAGTATGAAATTAATGTTTAAACTGTACGTTATATCTATTTTCTTTTTATATCTATATGTCTGTTGTTTTACAGTATCTCAATGCGTCCATGGAGTCCGGGCGCGGTGTGTGTCCGTGTGTTGGTGTTCTCGCGCGGTGTGAGAGACTCCCCGCTACGAGCGACCGTTGCTACACACGCCGCGCCGCTCACGGTGTGGGGGACGCGAGGATCGGGAAAGGAACAACTCAACCAGCCGGTCGCTTTAGCTAGGTACAAGACACATACACACACACATAAAGGCACACAAGTGTCTCAACTATCGTCTTAGTGATAAGGTAAAGCGCACACGCGCACACAGATATGTATCTCAACCAGCCCTAACACTGGCTAGGTACAACACACATACACATGGATATAAACTCACACACGCATACATGTATCTCAATCAGGCCGTCTCGCTGGTAAGGTATAGCACAGACCTACAAATACACACTTGCAAGCTCGCTCACGTGCACGTACACACCTACATACACAAACAATACGTAATATATACACGCTATGTACCTCTGCACACAATCGCACGTGCAGGTGCATAGATGGGAAAATAAATATCATCTCTTTCAAGTTATATTTAGATTATATGTAAAGAAATGTTTCTCTTACTTCAAACAATTATACGTTTTACATTTTATTTGGCCGACACATGTCATTATTATTTATTAGTCTGTTTATAAAAACTATGTTTTGTATAACATATATTTAAACAATAAAAATTTCATTTACAAGGAATGTTATCATGAAACAAGAATGACTAATGTAAAAAAACTCGTAATTAAAAATTAAAGTTGTACTCAACACATATATTAATTATATCTCCTTATAATCTTCCAGATGTTCAAAGCGTCGAGAGATCTACGTACTAGACGCTGGCAATTCAAGAGTGAAGGTGCTTGATGACGAGACCTTCGCTTTTAAAACTCACATCGTTAATGACGGTAAAATATACAACATGGCTAATATTTATATATGTACATATATACAGGGTGACTGGTGAATTACTATCAATATTTAAGGAGAATACTCGGTACATGATTCTCATTCGAATTATGTAAAAAAAATAGGTACTTAATTTTTGACAAAATTTCCGTATAAATAAATAAAGTGTTGACACGTTCCAAGTGTTCTAAGTGTGGACGCGTGCGGCGACGTGCTGATACAACACTACGCCGCACAACGCGTATGTGTGAGTGTGTGTGTATACCTAATCTGTAGGGTGTTCACACGATGCGTAATTAATTACATAACTTTTGGTTAACTTCACTTAGAAGTTTATTAATGTTTATGTTATATTAATTTTTATTTTGTCATATATGATCGTCAAATATCACGTCCTCAAGTATCGATAGTAATTCACCAGTCACCCTGTATAATCATATCCGAATTAATATATAAATTATTTAATAAAATCGGGATATCAAGATATAGTCACAATAACATAATTTATTCATATACTAGAAGACCCGGCGAACTTCGTATCGCCCTATAATCAAGAAATATCTGTTACGTTTTTATTTTTGGAGTTTACCTATTAAAGCCATAAATCTCCGTGTTTTGCAGTGTGACAGAATGATTGACATATTAGTTAGTTGTCAAATCTAATGACAAAAAAAACTACTACAAAATTAAAAATTAATTAGAAAAACATTGTCCAGCGGACAAAATTGTGAATCTAAACCATTCCCAGATCCCCTTGAACACACAAAAAATTTCATCAAAATCGGTCCAGTCGTTTGAGAAAAGTTCAGTGACATACACACTCACAGAAGAATTATATATATAAAGATAGTCAAAAATGTAAATAGTTTTTTATATATCATCCCTACTAATATTATAAATGCGAAAGGAACTCTGTCTGTCTGTTACGCTTTCATCACTGAACTGATTTTAATGAAATTTGGAACAGAGATAGAGTTGGCCTTGAAAAAGAACATAGGATAGTTTTTATTCCAGACTTTTGAAAGATTCTCTTGGAAACGCGATGTAACCGAACACCACGCGGGCGAAGCTGCGGGCGGAAAGCTAGTATAAAATGAATCTGTGATTCAATGTAAATAAAATATCTCCAGGTCTTGCGGGGCGGAGTTGTACTGGGATTGCAGTGACGGCGGAGGGATTAGTTGTTGTCAATTGGAGAACGAAGACTCTCACAGAGGTTTGTATGAACTATTCTTATTTACATATTAAATACTTCATTTACATATTAGAGGCACCGCTTATGTATATATATATATATATATATATATATATATATATATTTCAATCCATATAATAGAAATCATACATTATTCTGAAGAGAGGAAATTCCTTAGAATTAAACAGTAGTGCATTAATAGCATATCTTATTATAGTTCTTAATATACTACTTCTAGTCTCAACTGTTTTCAGATGAACGCTGAAGGCGAGACTCTCCGTACTATACGGTCAGATCGTCTAGTGGAGCCTGTATGTGTGGCCGCGCACGCTCCCAGCAGACGTCTGGCTGTCGCTGATAACGGAGCGAGGACGGTCTTCCTGTTTGATATACACGGGAACATAGAACGAGAGGTTATTTATAATAACATCAATTAAAAAATAAAAGGTCTCGGGCTCCGTGAGGTTTATAACAAAAATTTTCAACAGAAAAGCGGGAAAATCTTTTTTCACATACAGCGCCATCATACATAACATGTACTACAAATCAATATTTTAAGTTGATGGCGCCGGTGCATGATAAGTTGACAGCTACTCATTGTTACTCATTGTTCTCTGCTCAGTTAATTTCATGTGACAAACCGGTATTGTGTTTGTAGTTTGAACTCTTAAAACCATTTAGTATTTGCGGGATTAATTTAGAAAATCAATGTTTTTCACATGGGCGTTATATTTTGCGTGTTCACGAGTTTGGAAACCATCCGCTTTATTTGTGTTAAAGTTAGACCAAAATACAAAAAATGTGGTTTACAAAGGACCACTTCAATGAAACGGATAATTTGCGGACACGTATAACGCTTCGATTCGGCATCTACTTTATTTACTTAGAGAAGTTTAACTAAATAACACTTCATTTTTGTAATCGAAATGAATTCATTACTGTTGTGAAATGAAATAAAATGTTCCTTTTCAAATATAAAACAAAAAAATTCTTCATCTTTTAATCACCAAACGAAATGTTATATAAAAGCCTTCTGGTGGCGAAACGGAGTTCGACGGGTTTACTAGTATATATATATTAACTCAATACATATTTAATAATATATATTGAACATGTATATATTTCTGTCATAGATCACTCTCCTCAGTAAATTACTTACATGCATCGTCAAAATACAGAGAGTTTACAGCTATGTATTTATAAACTTTTAGTAACTACAGAGCGCTGTTTAAAAGAATGAGATGTTAAATATGTAGGGAATGTGTTTAACACATGAGAAGTGAACATGCTGTATAGTAATGAAGAAAAAATTTTATCACAAGTTCTAATAGACATATATTATGTATAGTACTGAATTTTCTTTTAGTTTTCTTATATTATGATATATATTAATATTATTTATCGATGTTTCCAGATAGGTAACGGTGACCTTGGTCTCGTGGGTGGTTTGGCTCTCACTGAAGACATGTTGGTGATAGCAGACGTAGCTGTACGAGTGTATGACGTAGATGGAAACCTGCAAACTACACTCGCGCCAATACCTAAAGGTATATATTGTGATATTAAATAAAACCTTATATATTACTATCAAGAAATATCTGTTACGTTTTTTTAATAAATAAATTTAGGTTATAACGTAGCCTCAGAAACTCGTGGTGGTTATGCTGTTATTAAATAGTCGCTCATATATGTCGTTTGTATTTTTAACATAGCGCCATCTATTGAATACTTAACTCAGTCAACAGATAATTGTAATAATGACAAATAATTTTCTTTAATAGACAAATAATTTGCAATAAAATAATATTGTGATTATAAATTGAGATGTAAGCTATCCTATCTTTCAAGTTGGATCAAAATGCACACGGAATGCCAATCAAATTTAAAATCGGTTTAGTAGTTTAGGAGTCTATCGCGGACAAACAAGTGACACGAAATTTTTATATATATAAAGATGTGTATGTTGGTTCTTTGGTTTTTGTGGTAGCCAGGAGTACTTAGCTTTTCAACGAATCTTTTGTTTTATACTAGATTGTAATAGCTTTCGTAGTATTTACGAATATTTAGCTTCTATGGTAGAGCGTGTTAACTTCAGTCAGTCTCAGATTGGTGATGCCAATCTTGAACCATTTAACGCAACCAAAATTCAAGCGTGGCCTTTCTCCCCCAGTAGAAAACCGTTCACTTCTCGAAACTTCTAGAAATGTATCCTTGAAATATTCTGACAGTCGTTACATATTGGGTATTTAGGTGTGTTGGAACTTTAATTTTGGATGGTTCATTGATTCCGAAGCTCAGCAGCAAAGAAACTCGGGATCCTTACAAAAGTGAAGCAGTACTTGCTTCTTTCTTTATGCAAAGCATAGGTCCGGTCGTATGTGGAATATTGCTGTCATATCTGGGCAGGCGCTGATAAACGTGACTTGGACTCAGTGGAGAGACGTACGAAAAGGTTTTCTGGTGACTATTTCGTTAAATCCCACGTCATCAGCCTAGGCCAAAGGCGAAAAGTGGCCACATTTCCGTTCCCTACAAGACAAACACTGGAGAGTGTATATGGGAGTTACACCATTTAATTTATGCATCCCCTTTCTATTATATGACAACCAGACCAACATTGGACCTCTATCCTTTCGTTGTAGATCTTCCTCGTAACCGGTCGAAGCGACACGCTTCCTCCTTTAAGACAGTTTGCCAACGTCTGTGTTTTCTTTAAATTGTAATTTGGGTGTCTTCAATAAAAGGTTGAATAGGCTGACAGACTAATGCGTTAACCACCTACCCCTATATTTACGAAAGGTGGAATGATAAACAAATAACAATGTCGGAATATAAAAAAGCTAGGAGAACTCAGCGATAGGAATTTTCTCAGGTTATAGTACTACTGTGCTATAGTTAAATGCTATTAGTAGTACACTTCTTTGGCTTAAATTATTGACGAATTAAACAATTGCCTATTCTATACGAATAATATGTTCCAGGTCGCGGTGGATACGGCGGTATAGCTGTTGAGGAGACGGAGAGCGGCTGGCATATAGTGTGCGCGCGCTCTGTCAAGGGTCGGCCGGCGCTCGTGGTGTTGGACTCGGGCGGGAGGCTGCTCGCCGCCTGCGACCTCGCTGACAGACGACCGCGCCGGGTCGCGGGCGTCGCGCTACTGCCGGAGAGACGAGCACTCCTCGCTGATCTGGCTGGGGACTGTCTGCGGCTGCACACGTACTGGTGAACGAGTGAGTGAATGACTTGTACCATGTGTATATGAATGAATGGTTTAGCTGTATAGGAATGGACAAAACCTAAGGGATTTTGCCACAGTGATGACCATCGACATAATATACTAATGGACATGTCGTACGCGTATAATCTGCAGTAATTTTTTGGTTTGAAAAGAGTGAAAGAGATGGCCTATGCTTTCGATCTAGCACTCTCTCTTTCCGCGTAGATGATTGGCGCACAGTCAGTACGGTACTATTTTGAGAGAGATAAAGATAGGCCGAAACTTCTTTTCCTCTCTTTCTTTCGGAGTGCCACAATTCTCACCTCTAAGGCATTTCCATTAGTATATGTCGATGGTGATGACGTACCACTCTCATCGTATATGATTATTATCTATGGTGAATGAATGAATGGGTATTATTGGATTTTTTTTATTTGGCAACATTAGATAATATGTAGCGACATAAACATTTGACATCCTTCTTATATTATTAAAGTATAATAGTCAAGGTGATATTAAAATTATATGTATGTACTTAACAGATATATATGTTTGTCACCAGATGAGGCGATCGAGTCGGTAAGGTAATGAAGCCGGGAGGCTGGTTGTTATCGAATTTCATGCTAGTCCATATTGTAACTGAGAAACGAACACGGCCATAATCTCTACATCGGGGCGACGTACCGGAGTCATTAGTACGAGCACCGTCATTACTATACTTTAGTACTTACAGTATTTATTTAAGTCCTAGTTATGTTATATTTTTTTTTGTACTAATTCGATGTCGTTTTTGGACATCATTATTATTTTTTTCGCGACTGATTTAGATGTGTTCCTGTTTTTTTGTTTCTGTGGCGCGTTTCGTTGATTAAGTTTTGCGTTATATTTTTTTTATTTCATCGTGAAGCGGACACGTAATTAAGATCTTTTATTGTAAGCGTAATGTAAATTATTGACGGTTGAATGTCATAGTGAGTAGAGAATCGGTTACAGTTTAAAATGAACACCAAACGACAATAGTTATACAATTTACAAATTATTTGAACGTGCCTATATTGTGATTAACAAAATGTATTGTGTCAATGTCCGACAATATTTATATTAATGAATTATTGTTCTACTTAATAAATGTAACTCAAACTTTTTATTTTTACATTTATGTTGTAATATTTCGGTGCCTGATATTAAATTTCTCAAAAACTTCAACAACTCTGACAACTGTTGAACGTCAAATTAAAAAAATCCCTACATTTTTATATGTTAAACACATTTCGCGGTTATTTTCCAAAAGATTCTATAAATAAATAACTTCACCTTGATATAAAAAACAAATAGATAATATGAATCCAATAGCGTATTAATATTTAAACGTCATAATAAAATGCTAGTGATCTCTATACAATAATGCTTTGGTTAATAAATAATAATAATGTCACGCTTTTGATTGAGGAATCAAATAAAAAGTTCGAAATTTAACAAAAAAAAAATACATTAGTCCTTAAAATTATTCCAACTAGCAACACTGAACACGCTTGTAATAAATTCAAAACATTTTGCTCAAAAACAAACATCATATCACAAAGCTTCCATTTTGCTAGAATTAGAAATAAATACGAATTATGAAGCATTTAAAATAAGAGCGTCCTTTATTTTAGAGTTTTAATACGAAATTGTGCTTAAATACCACATTATTGTAATTTATGTAACGTTACTTAAACATTCGTTACATTACTTTTTGATTTAAAAAGTGATGTTGAATTTCGAGGACTAATTCTTGAATGTCTTCTATTCTCCTTCTCGATAGGATTTGAAGTTTTTTTTAATAAAAATTAAATCGAAATTTATGATACAAAAAACACTCATAAAAATATTTTTCTCTCGAATATTGAATACTAGTTTTGGAACTACATATTAGAAAGTGACGGATCTCAAAAAGTTTGTTACTCCATACATTATAAACAAAACTAAATAAAAAAATTATAAGTTATACTAAAATAATTAATATCGGTATATGAAAACAGCAAACACACCAATAAAACCTAATTTATAACATGGAATTTCATACAGAAAAAATATAGTATATTAATTTGCAAGAACGCCTTCAACATGCGCATTATTAATGGAGAAGATCGTTAAATTAATAGTTATAATGAGTGTATGTAAACTATAATGAGGTTACCATTCATATCACGTAGCGATTGTTATCTTATCTGTAAGCAAACAGTTTAATGTTAGTTTGTTCATGCGATTGTTAACGTTGTAATTAACTGTTCATGTAATTAAGACCCACGCTCCTAGACCGTCACAGACCGCCACAAAACACATGCATTTATAGATTACACGACACACAACAAAATGACAAATATTATAAGTCGGCAAGTGATTGGTACAAATATTGTTTGTGATGATGTATTTTAAGTATAATGTTTACGTTCTAAGTGACTCTATCGTCAGAAATTCTCTAAAATTTATATTTTCTTCGAAATCTATTTTTGCATAACAACGGAATTGACTCTCTTTATTTCTCGAATCAGAAATTATATTATGAAGAGCTGTACTTAAATTGTTTCACAGAGTATATAAATGTAATGTCTATGATTTGTCACATTATGCAAAATAAAGTTTGAATCTTTAACTGGAGGTTTTATTTGATGTCCTGTTTTATGTAATGACCGTTTCACCGAGTGCTGTTAAGTTAAACACAGTTTATGAGCTAGCTGAGTATAATTTGTCTCAAGTATTGTAATCTGACACATTATTATAACAGCTATTAAATGGTATACTTGGACCGACTCACGTATTCCATGAGAACATAAAGGTAATGATAGGTAGGCTAGATATTGACAAGAATCTTCCTGCAACTGATTTATGCAATTATTGTAGATATGTTAAGATATTATTTCGAAGTGACCTACAGGTTAAAGGGCCGTCTCTCGTGCATATGGTAGCGGATTCAAAATCTGGCAGGTGAAAATGTGATTTCTTCTGAGTCATCTGTAATTTTAAGATTATTTAGACACATCACTGATAGGAGGTGGAAGAAAATATCGTGAGGAAACCTGTATTTATAATTTCAAATTATAAGTTTGAAATCTCTCATCCGCCTTGAGCTACCTTGGTGATCAATGCTCTTACCTTCTCCATGTGAGAAAAGACCTTTTCCTAGCAGGGGGCACCGGTAGGCTGCTGAAGAGGAAAGATATTACGGCATTTTTATATTTATGCCGTCTTAGACATAATTTTGATAATTTCCACTGAAATTAACGAAACACATGAAATAATGTTCAGTAAAAATTTAGTTCTGCTATTGGCAATATTGTTTTTAATATAAGATTGTTTTTAACGATACAAGCAATATATAAAGCAGATTGTCGACCTGATGTACCTTCCATAAATTATATTTATTGAAGTTCTCTATATATGCTGGAGTGCCAACACAAAGCTTGTGGCCATAAACATCTTTCAAAATTACATATGTATATACGAACGAATGAATGGGTCTCTATACTTAGTTCGGTTCTAATTTTTCTCAGTCATTTGGATCATGGACTCCACAAGCGCTATATGGAAAAGCATCTAGATCTTACTTTGGGAAGAATAGTTACCAAATGACCCTCCGTTCAGTTTTTCATAAAACTGCCTTTAAAAGTAGGTATAATAAATAAAGAAAGTCATAAAAAATAAATTTATTAAAACTCAGTCAAAATACAGAGAGAATTGTTTTGGTCGTCCAAAAAGTAGATTACGTTGAGTGTTCCAATAATACACAAGATACTTAAATTTAGTTTATAACATAGGAACAAATTTATAAAAAAATATTTAGTTTATCAAGTCGCATAAACCTAAAAGTATAAAGTATACGAGATACTAAAATTACTTCAGCCTTTACTTTTTAAATTTCGTCTCCAAACTATAAGATGACTTTTATTTTAGATTTTAACATTAATAATATGTGATTTTATAATTTAATGGATCAACCATAATGATATAAAGATTAACAATAGTTATGTATCTTTAACGGATTTTATATTTTTTTCTAATATCTTGTATATGTCGGCGCAGTTACCATTTTAATAATCAATAATTGAGGGTAGATAAATTATCAGGTGTCGTTCGCGTAACAACCTGTCCGAGTGAAGTCATAACAATGGCTGTTAGTCATTATAAATAGAGGCGAGATTACTGATTACAGATAGTCGTGCTGGAGCCGTCGCGGGGATCGAACCTCTTCGAAGTGAGACATCATCTAACCGGCCGTGAGGGCTGTGAAGTTACCTTCGATAACCTCAAGGGCTGACGACGTTCGAGGACAAACCGCGCTGGTGACGTCAGTTATGCTGACGTCACTCATTTTAAAAACCACGTATTGGCTTCTTCTCCGACATCAGAAGTGGGATCGTTCACTTCTGCTCGTCCATCTGATAATAATGGAATTTTTCTTCAATGTTTCAGAGCCCCTGTGGACCACGGACAAAAAGTCCTAGACCTCAGCATCGACCTACCTCAATCCCTTAGAGCCTCTGTGGACCACGGCGTACAAGACCGCCCAGACCACAGCAACATCCTAAAAATTAAAATCCTTTGTGGAACCATCAGAAGTCAAGTGTACACCACAGATCTGGAGTGTTACCTCTGAGCTAATCACGTGTTATCCTCAAGCTAACCTCGTGTCCATGATGTATCCATATGAGAACCATGAGATTCTGTAGGGATGCCTTGTGAAGCCGTGAGGAGACATGTATGCACCAAAGAGTGATACCTCTGAGCTAATTACGTGCTATCCTTGAGCTAACCACAGGTCCTTGATGTATCCGTAAGAGAACCATGAGATAACGAGGGGACGCCTTGTGGAACCGTGAGTAGACATGTATACACCGTAGATCTGGAGAGTGTTACATCTTTGAACTAATCATGTGCTACCCTTGAGCTAGCTCATAACGATCAGTTTTTGTTTTTATTTCATTCTCAGGTGACCAGGGAATCTTAACCAAGAATGCAGGATGGTGCAGAGCGCGCACCAACTGTCAGAATGGCCGTGTCGGCGCAGTTACCATTTTAATAATCAATAATTGAGGGTAGATAAATTATCAGGTGTCGTTCGCGTAACAACCTGTCCGAGTGAAGTCATAACAATGGCTGTTAGTCATTATAAATAGAGGCGAGATTACTGATTACAGATAGTCGTGCTGGAGCCGTCGCGGGGATCGAACCTCTTCGAAGTGAGACATCATCTAACCGGCCGTGAGGGCTGTGAAGTTACCTTCGATAACCTCAAGGGCTGACGACGTTCGAGGACAAACCGCGCTGGTGACGTCAGTTATGCTGACGTCACTCATTTTAAAAACCACGTATTGGCTTCTTCTCCGACATATATATTTTTAAATAAAATGAACTGACAGAGATATGAGTATACTTACCCCAAGTTTCCATAGTAATGCTACATAGGAGCGTCAACAGCTTTTCTGTCTTAAATCTCTTTACATTATTTACGAAGGTTACAATATTAGAAACGGAAAATGCTTCGTATGTACGATTTCTGTGATTGTGCAAACTTGTGGTAAGCATACAGTAATACAATAGTAACTTGATTTCAGAAGACTCACTTTATATAGTAACAATAATAGCTAAATATTTTATCTAATTTTAGTAAATAAAATAAAGAAAAAATACACACATGGAAACCTTTTGTGAATTACGTATATCAAGAGAAGAATCAACTTAGAAATCGATACCAGATCATAATTTGGTTTACATTAATTAATTAATCGATTTTTAACTTATTCGCTATCTTCATTCACTTATAACAATTTTTATGACACTAATTCGTTTAAATAACAATATTGTATAGTTAACAAAACGATCCTTAATTTAGGATGTTACTTTTTTACACTCATACGGAAATCGATTTACATAAATGCATAAAATTGTTTGATATCGCAAAAACATACCAATTAAATTTATCCTATCAATTCTACTAAAGCCATAACATATCTAAATGACTGGTTAATGGAAATGTTAATCTTAAACTATTGTAATAAATGCAACTTTAAAAACTTAACACTTATATGAGATGATAAAGTCTTAAGGACGTACGGAAAAATATATCTGTTATTAACTGGGAACATTATACATTAAAACAATTCACGAGGCAATTCGATAATGATTAGGAAAAAATATATGAAAGAAATTTTTATCTTAATATTTAGCATATTAGTACTTTTTGCCAAATTTCTCTAGAGTTTTCTTACACTCTAATATAGTGTTATTGAGACGTTCTTGAGTAGCTGACGTCTGTTTGGACGTCAGTAGTCTCCTACAGCTGTTGATAGTAGTGTAGTATCCACAGACGTTATGTAGTATTCTTATAGCGCGATCACCGCAAACGAATAGATACTTACCAGCCGCGTCGAAGTACATGTAGTTTATCAGACCTGGAAGCAATTAATGGTTTCATGGATTTTTAATATGATGACGTCATGAAGGTCGACTGGTTCTTCAATATTCGTGGTGACTTCGATTTAAACATACAAAGGTATTAAGTTACCTATCAGTATAACGGGGCGATAATGCATTATACCACGTAACGGATGTTCGTGAGAGGCTTGATTAAAACCTATATATGTATGTTTGTGTTCTGATGTACTCGTATTTGTCTGCAGTTATGTGTAGAAGAAAGTACATACTTATAAAGCATTTAACTAATGTATACATTATTTATATAAGAAATTATTTTAATCCGAGATATTAAGCGGTTGTTTACTCTTAATAATTGTTTTTAATAATCTTTAATTACACATTCATCAAGATAATGCGATACATAAGTACGTCTAGACAGAATTAAATACGTCAATATTGTTTATCCTTTATTATTTAAAAAAAATATTTTTTTTTAGATTTTTCTAATGATAATTAAAGGACACAAATATAAAGAAATAATATGATGATAAACAGTTTAATTAGTAACATTTTCAGTGTCTATTAATATGAAGATCGAAGTTTTTCCTAAAATAGAATTTACGTGGTCAAAGAGACATGGTTTTGGTTTTTCATTGATATATATCTTCCTAAGTATAAAAATAGCACATTAATGAAATAAAAATCTATTTTAGTATGACCAAACAAAATTTTGATAGCGCTAACTAGTCTAATGACTTATAATCGAATGCTCATATTAAATAAAATTCTGAAAGACTAAATACAAATACACGAGAATATAAACGGACATCATTAAGAAATAATTTCCTACAAACAGTTCTATATCCGTACGATCGATCGATTCATGTTCAATAATTCAAGCAACACCTCAATATAAAGTAAACAGTTTAAAATGAGCCCCACTGAACCATTTCCATTCATTTATGCTTTGACGTCAATAATACTATTAAAATTTATATCATGATTTACGAATAGACAAGAGATTTTAAAGAAACATAAGCCTATTAAGTATATAAGTTTAAAATCATCACATACGTACAAGTTGGTAGTGATTCATAATACGTCGTCTATATCAATATGGCGTTGTGAATTTATTTGTGATCGTACAGTGAACTTTGATATTAACAAGACCTAAATAAATCAACTCAGAAATTCATACAAATATGTTACAAAGTACTCTAAATATAAGACGATTTGATTTTATGTTTTGAAATTAATGAATATATATTTTTTTAATACACGAATTTGTACATTTTAATATAGATGAATTTGCCGAAGTGTTCTTATATAGTATACAGGGTGACTGGTGAATTACTATCAATATTTAAGGAGGATACTCGGTACATGATTCTCATTCGATTTATGTAAAAAAAATAGGTACTTAATTTTTGACAAAATTTCCGTATAAATAAATAAAGTGTTGACACGTTCCAAGTGTTCCAAGTGTGGACGCGTGCGGCGGCGTGCTGATACAACACAACGCCGCCGAACTCGTATGTGTGAGTGTGGGTGTATACCTAATGTGTAGGGTGTTTACACGATGCGTAATTAATTACATAACTTTTGGTCAACTTTACTTAGAAGTTTATTAATATTTATGTTATATTAATTTTTATTTTGTCATATATGATCGTCACAAATCACGTCCTCAAATATCTATAGTAATTCACCAGTCACCCTGTATAATAAGAAGACGGATATAAACTTGTCATATATACAAATAATTCACGATTCACTTCAGGTCAGTTTTTCTTTATTACCATAGAACGAAGGTTGGACAAGTCGCGATCATGATCCAGGATGTCATACCATAAACGCTATAAATACTACATATAGGTATAAAGGGACGTATGAATATACATAAATTCATTTCATACAAATAATGTTTGTATATCAAAGTTTCAACGGAACTTCCAAAATAGAAGCGCCGGCATCACTATAATAATACAAACAAGGCCGGCTCGCTGTAATGGACTCGCTTACAGGAATATCGGATTTGAACGTATTCGTTAAATTAAATACGAAATATGTCACAGACGGACACAGATTGCTTTTATATATATTGCAACTCATGAATACCGTGAATACGGAGAATGCATTGAAAATAATTAAATGATTCCGTTTTGATTAAATTAAAATTATATTCCTGTACAGTATGTAATTTTGGCATTTAATACAAAAGTTGAACTTGTGAGACTTATTGGCAGTTCGTGTTTTAATAATTTTTACCTGTGATTATGTATAATTTTCATTCTTAACTATGTACTTGTACGAATAAAACACGTTTTGTTCTATATAAAAGAAATTTCGTCTCATCATCGGATCAATACATTCGAGATCTATTTCTAAGAATCTCAAATTAAAAGAATTGTTCGGTTTGTTTAAGGATTTTTCCCATACAATCCCTACGAAATGAAGAAAGAATGAAATAGAATAGTTTCTCAAATGTTTGTCGTATTAAATAACTTACCAGTGTAAAGATTCTCCACTGTATCATATAGTTCGCCGGTGTAAGTGTCATAGAATTCCACGTTGGAGTCGTTGGAGACGGCTAGCACCTCGGCGTTAGGTGATAGAGCTATCTTCGGAGGATTGGCTGTTTGGGTGTAGGATCCGGTCATCAGCACATGAGGGGATTCCCCGCGCGAATATTCAACTGTAATTAAGCAATTAATTTGCATTTTACTCAAAATAAAATGTTTGTAACAAAAAATCCCGTATAGTCATATTTTTGTAACATATTTGTAACAAAAAATCCCGTAGGTATAGTCCGTATTTTCTTGCAAAATATTATTGAATTGCGATAGTGTATGCTCATGTGTACAGTTGTTTAGTTGTACATACTATTGTAATTATTTGAGAAGTTTTCGCCAATAACAGCAACTTTTTAAGACAGGTCATATCAATATGTGTATTTAATTTATTTTAAGGTATGTTAATATTTGATGAAATAGAACTCAAAGAAATAAATTGAAGTGAAGAAAGATTTTTTAATCAATTATTATTTTTGTTATCAACCATAATATATCCCCCCCTTTAAAATATTTAGCAACCCACAGGTTTTGGAAGTGCAATCAGCCTAGATCTGGAAATTACGTCACTGTAAAAGCTAAGTATACAAATTTCCAGAGAAATGGGTTGAATCGGCTTGAAAACTGAGTATGATATTGCGCCAGAATAAACATAGTTACAACCGTGAATTGCACATTAAATAAATCCCTTTATAACACAGTCCTAGTAGGTATGTTTGGTCCAAATTTTTATCTTCATACTACTACCAAGCTCTTTTCATTCATAAATCGTTACACATTACATTATTATCTTAGGTTATTGCATAAAAAACGGGAAAAGCTTAGTCACTAGTGTGACGATGAAAACTTGGACTAAGCAGAATGATTAACTGTAAAAATTTGTTGTTTTAATGATCTAACTATGGCGTAACTTTTTCAAATTAAAACGCAGAAGGCTATCCAAAGTAGTATTGACATAAAAACCAATTTGGATGAATCAGCCAATCAAAAATTCTGAGTCAGATGACATAATTTACAGAACATGCATGGCCTCAAAATATAATATTCGCAATAATTTGGATTTTCTGTAATTAGTGTTTCTGGTGATTCATTAAACCCTAATCCCATGTACGCATGAATGCAACTCGATCACACGTTTTGAATATATTAATATATAACAGTTTATTTTCCTGTTTGTGACCAAACTATTAACTTGAGTTATGGTCATTTGATGGGTCTAGTAATTATAATAATCCATTTAAATCACTGAATGGATTATACCAAATAAGTTCATACGTCCATATCAGTAATGATAGTTGTAAATATTAATGTGAGAGCAAAATTACGTAATGCCAACCTTTATATAATGTAGTTATCAAGAAAATATATATGTTAAATACTATTCCTATATTCTAGGAATCTAGACTAAATAAATTAATATTCATCCTATACTATAATACTAAGAAGAACTTATCAAGGAAAATCGATGGATAAAATAAGTCTTTGAGAAAATACAAAGAAAAGTAATCGTTGAACAAGGTACGGTACGGAAGGAAGGAAAAGTTTGTTATTAAATAGAGAAAGAGTGCGTCATAATTATAATATAATCGTCTGATAAGAGGATGTTTGTTGAAGAGTCACTGCTACAGAACGCTTGGTATTAATAGTGGAGCCATTAATGTATTTGCATGATGCAACATCGCATTTTATTGGTAGCAATTGATTGCAATACAAAAGAATTTCATGGCGTGTTATAGCCACGTTTGAGAACAAAGATGCAACCAGTTTATTTTGCTGTTTTTTTTCGCAAGCAGGTTACAATACAGCTGCATGGCCATACGATTTACAGTGAAACCACTTTTGTTATGCATCTGAAGGGTTCATTATGGAAGATATGCAAATGTACAGATTTCGTTTAAGTGGAATTACCATTAATTTGAAGTTTTCCCTTTATATTGATACTTAATGACGCCGTTTCGAAGATATTTCGACATGTTTCTGTTTTCGTAAACACAACCGGTTCATGGGATATTTGCCATTGTAAACAAAATAATATTATTGGAAATTGACGTGATACCATTTATAATAATAAAGTATGGACACATTAGCTCAATGTAAAGTGATACTTCCACCAGCTTACCATACTTCAAACAGCAAAAACTGCGCAGATTCATAAATTATACTTATCATATTAATATTACGGCAATAAGTTTGTTTATCATAGAATTTAACTTCTAATTATTCATTGATTTTTAATTTATTCTACCAGCAATTCCGTAGCTCTTAACATTGAACATCTTTTATAATAATGAAGGAATTTTCCGAGGGAAATTAATCAATATCCTGCCATATGTATGTAGCAATAACCAGGGTAATATGAACATGCAACTCACTTCTAGTGTGATATATCTTCCACGTGCCGTCCTTGGATATGGTTGCGATGTGCGATGTATCCACAGCGAATGCAACGTCATAAACGCCGGACGTGTGACCGGTTAGCTCGTATGCCTTGGTCACTTGGTTGTATTCACCCGTTTTTTTGAAACACACTTCCATAACTTTGACGTCCGGTGAGAAACCGGTAGCTACCACGAAGCGACCGCACGGCGATATCTTGGCTGTGTGTGTGTGCATCAGGTATGTGTCCAACCTCTCGAGCTGTTGCCCCTTGAGGTCCCATATGATCATATCGGTTTTAGACGAACATGACATCATGAACTTACCATTGCTTGATATACCGAAACCGATAACGTCATCCTCATGAGCCTATGAACAAAAACATATAATTGAATAAAAGTGAAATCAATAGTATTACTTTGTAACATAATGTTTTTATTAATTCGTGTCATAACACAGAACAGATGCCGTGGCGTCATAATGATCTATTCAAAAACAACATTAACTAGCTTTACATAAACATTATAAGTCTATATATTACGCGTAATTTACTAAGATACGAATATAAACGGCCTGTTAGGCGTGCGTTCCGAAGCATATCTTAGTAAACAGATGATATTATCGTCCGCGTCCTCACACTACGAGATGGGGGCCAACGCACTCTGAGACAAACAAAATACCAGCCGGTACAAGCACCGAATAATATATTCAGTCCCCATTGCAGAGATCAGTAAGGACAATAGGTAAATGAGCCCCGAAACGTTTTAAAGACATCACGTTCCAAAACACGCTAATTTATTTTATCATCTGAAACCACCAACGCAGTAATGTCTTATTTATATTTGACTTTCATGATTGAATCAATATATTTATATGCTCGGAAATATAAGAAATAATGTAAAAAGAATAATTGTATACACGTTTAACAGTTATAAAAGTAAACCCCTTTTTATTTTCTTAACACGACATAACAATGATTCTGCATCTTTTCCCGATAGATACAAAACAAACGGAATAATAAACACGTATATATAAAAAGAGATCGTGTTTAGAATATAAATTTATATCCAATGCATATTAAGAATTAAGATGATGTTTGATTTTGATAACTTCACGAGGAAATGTTGTGGACCTTCCTGAAGCTAAAAATATATCAACGAGGTTGCGCGTGCGACGATCCGATAGTATATACAAAGATATTATATATACAACTCCATTGTTTCAAAGGAAGGTCGACTCGCTGATAACGAGAATAATGGCTGACTGACGGCTAGCCGCCTCTTTCATCCATATACGGGCCACGGGCACAATGTGACTAAATAACATCAAAGGAAAATAAACCTTAACTACATTATAACAAGTTATGAAATCTACTCATTATAATTCAAGCATAGTTTTTGCGTTATTAGCGAAAGCATACGACAATGCGGAAAGATTTTTAATCGCAGGAAGGAACTCCTTTGTTTAGTTAACAGATTTTCAAACGTATTCAAAAGTCCTCGGCCGTTTGTCGTTTACAACATCTGTGATGAATATTTGCGCTCGTAAAACAATGCTTTAAAAGACGCCTTGAATACAAAAATCTCAAAAAAAAAAAAGAAGAAAATATATATTTTTATTAGCAAAACAATAAACATTTAATCTAATTATGGTTGCTAATAAAAACGCATTCAATGTTCAGGACAATGGTAGGGAACGCTAAAATGTTATGATAGAAAGCTTTTAAAATTTATTTTCGTTTAAAAAGCCATTACAGGTTTCAGTGAAACGACCTAATTCAATAACCACACTATTGTAATCCCCTACCTCGGGTTTTCGATTTTAAAACCTGCTAGATATTATTTTGTTAACAGTAACTTGTTTTATAATAACAATATGAATTTGTATTATTGGAACTGTATGAGTTAGGCCGATATACATAAATAGATCAAAAGATCTTTTCCGACTAACGCATACGTTATGAAGCCATGAAGTAATTTGTAGTTCGAGGGACGTTCTGCCCTATTTGATGAATGATTAATAGGGCAAAAAATATAAAATATTGTTTATTGTAGGAAGCAAAAGTATTAATAAAATGAAAATATTTTTCTGTCTCACTAGAACTGGAAATATCAAACCATCTATTTCAATTTTCACAGATAAAAATACCACTCAGTTTTGAAACCAAAAATATCTTTACAACTAGTGTAATTAATTTTCATAAACATTGAACTTTCGCATTAATATTAAATATATGCATAATATAAAACTTGATTAACTGTTGCTATAAAATATATTTTTTTATTGTCGGCTCGTGTCACAAAACAAAGGACTATAAAACAAATCGTAGAGGTATTACTAGGAGTAATAGCAACTTACCGCAAAATACAATAGCACTTAATTGTTATAGATTTAATTAAAATGCTGTCGACCTGATTTAACGTTACACAGGCATATGCCACATGCATTACCAGTTAATTACATTTATTTATCACATGCACACTAAATGAGATGCATTAAATACTATATTTAGATTATTGGAACTGAATTTAATAAAAACAGCTAAAATTTGGACCAAAGAAACTGTAGAATAATAGATTTATTGATTATTTTTCTAAAACAACAATCATAAGAGAAAGATTCACATTAATAGTAAACAAAAAGGAATTACAAACAAGAAGTTTACATATCAATTTTTATTTAAACACCATTGTTTTAATATATAAAAAAAAAATAAAGGTTACGCGGCTGTATAGTAAACAATGGTGGGAGTGTACGTTGTATACAATCTTGAAAGTGACGCTATTCAACTGTTAGGGAAATCTTGTGATAGCGGCGAATCACTTCAAGTTTCACACATTACATTCTGTTCTAACACAGTCAATTACTTTTACGCTATTCTGATATAAAATAACTAATATATTTGAAAGCTGGTGTTCATGGCAAGAAGTAGCATTAAAGTCCATAGAAAGTATAATCAATGTTATAGAAGGCGGGAGAGATCATGATTGTTTTAAACATTATTATCGATATAAATGAATTTCCATTACATATAAGTTTAGTGCATGATTCACCCAGTAATACGGGTTTGCACCTAGTACAGGGGCCCTTGCAACTTGATTGTTATGTAATCCTTGAGTCAATAAAGTTTATTTTTTTTATTTATTTATGATGTAAGAAAGAAAAGAGAGATAGAAAATTTAAGCAAAAAAATAATTGACAGGCCAAAGTAATGGCACTTTTCAGTTGTTATATTAAGTTGTTTTCAACAAACTCTGCCATATGTACTAAGCAAATATAGTAGAAGAATAAACAGCTGTAATAATTCAATATAATTAGATATTACTTATATAGAATGAAAAATTGATACGAGCAGGAATCGGACAAGCTACATCCGTGATATAGCGTTACAGGCAACTCGCAAATTGAGCTATCGTGTTACCAAACAAAAACTTACTTGAAACTCGAAAACGGTAACTCAAAATTATGAATAATTAAACTATTATTATTATTTATTTATATAATATTTTAGTTGACTTTTTTTGCATATTGTAATGTTTCAAGCAAAATACGATATAAAAAGTTTAATGGTTGATTGAACAGTAATTTCGACACTAAATACTTGCATACTCACGACGGCATTATAGTAATTGCTAACAGTTTTAAATAAATTATTGTTAAAAAAGTCAATATTAATGTATATTTGCATTAACTTAACTTTTAAACTATTTAATTATATATATTTTTTTACGAAATTATTGTAAAAATTTCAATTTTAGCCTCTAATAATAGCTCTTAGCAACGAAACGCCTTGACCAAATTAGGTTCTGGTCTATCTTTGCTAAAACGAATACAATGGCATTGTAGTTACTAAATTTCTGACATAACATTGTTGAGCATAATTTTAATACCCACGATATAATTATAAGTATTGTATAATATAACTTTAATTCCTTCTTTTAAATAATTTTTCATCACCAAAGGGATATAATTTTTAAGCAACATCCGAGCTAACGTTAAACAAAATGCAAAACCCCGACTAACTGATTACGAAAGCAACAAATGTTGTGAAAAATACGGAGAGGTTTTTTTAGGTTTTCTTAAAATAAAAACGATTATGTACCTTACGAATACAATGGCTTCTTATAGAGAGTTACAAAATGTACACGTAAAGGATGAAATAAACAAAAGGGATTCATTTTAAACGTACTAAATTTACTTTCAATTCTCCGAAAACAATAGATAGACATTTGCCTTTCCACTAACAGATCTGAGTTTAGGGGTTTATCTTTGTTATTTAAGCTCTGCTATATACAAAAGATGAAATGCATCTATTTAAATAGTTAAAACAAACTATTGTTCTATCCTATCCTATTCTATAACACGGTCTTGTAATTCCTTAAGGCATTTTAGTCATAAAATTTATTATGTACGGTATACAACAATAAATTTTTCAATAGTTTCAACATCTCAGTTCGATAGTAATCGGCTGACATTACAATATCCGTTAACAACGTTAATTGCACATTAGAAATACAATTGAATTATTGTGAATTATTTTATTCTGAGTGTAAAAGACGTACAAGTTAATACAATCAATATGCTTTGAAATACGTATGAGTAAATGTCTAATGGCTAGTCCTTTTTTACGACCCTAAATTTGTATACACATATACGTACATGAATGGAATAAACATTATTGCATATTGATAAAAGTACAATGACCGGAGGTTATCAAAAATTACTTATCACGAAGATTAAGCAACGAGAAATTCCTTGCATCGATTGATTATTTCTTTAAACTTAAATTGTTGTTGTATGCAATAAATCTAAATGGACTATGATCTCATTTATAGGGCATAGTCTAGTTTTTTGCAGACATATGCCACGTAATAAAAACAAAAGAAGACTTCGTCACAACCAGTTCACTAAGGACTGAATTTTATATGGAATAATAAAAGTTATTGAATTTTTTAGGCTTTTTCGGCTCTACAGTTTCATTTTGAAGAATACTTGAGGCAACGTAAACTTTTTACTGTATACATTTCGTAAAAACTATATTTTTCATAATAGATAAAACTTCACCAATCGACAAAAGAAATTCAACAATCGTATTGCAAGTCTAATTAATCTTATGGTTCGAATATATCTATATTGAAAAATAAAATCAATTTAACAACGAATACCGCTATTTTACTATATTTTCGGGAACGAATAATTTAAAATTAAATAAATAGAGGCAGAAATAAGTCTGCGTTATATGGAGTATGCAATTTGATATGGAGTCTCATCTAATTACGATGTATTTGCATTGTATGCATAATGCATGGAATAGTTATTACATACTGGAATATCTCAAAGATAAAATAAGTAAAGTTATAAATAAATAT